GACTTTCCAAGCATACATGGAGTTACCTTTGGCAAAGAGCTTCAGCAAATCATAACCTTAGGGCATGTGTCACATTTCTGGGAAACAGAAACCGACATTGTTTCCCTGTGGATGGTCTTGTCCTCTAAACAATTTTGAAACTCCTTAATCTCTCAAATCATCTAAATGCTTGTAGGCAGTCCTCAAGGAGAGCTGCTCAATGTCATGCAAAACTATTTTTCAGAGTTTTTGAAGACAGAACTTGCAGCTAATTTGAGAGCAGTACAGCACAGGGTTTAAGATCATGGGTTTTGGCATCAGGTCACCCTGGGTTCTTATTATAGCCAAAGGGTATGGGGAGTGTATTATTTTGCCAAAGCTGCTGGAAAAAATTTCCATGAATTTAGTGGCTTAAAACAACACAAATGTATTATCTCACAGATTAGGATGTCGGACATCTAAAATGATTCTGCAGCAATATGTTCTCTCTGGAAGATCTGAGGGAGAATGTCTCCCTTCCTTTTACAGCTTCTAGAAGCTGCCGGCTTTCCTTGGGCCATGACCCCTTCCTCCATCTTCAAAGCCAACAGCTAGCAACTCTCCTCTCTGACTTTCTGTTTCCCTCTTATAAAGACTCTTGTGTTTAGATGGGTTGATCTGGGTAACCGAAGATAAATCTCTACATCTCAAGATCTTTAACTTATTTATACTTGCAAAATTCTGTTTTCCATATAAGATTCCCTTTTGCCTGTATTCATATGTTTTCAGAATTAAGACATAGATATCTGGGGTGGGGGGTGGGGAGATTAGTTGACTATAGGAAGTAGATTGTTCATTGCCTAAATTCTTATCTTTGACATAACAATTATTATAGTTCTTCTTGCATAGAGTTGTTATGAGAATTAAATAAAATTGCAAACATTGTTATTTAGCACTACTATAAAAACAATCTCTGTAGTAAATGATATAGGAACATTAAGGATATTCATGAGAAAGGTAGATCTGATCTCTGTTCTTGGTAGAGAACAGATTTTTAATGAATAATCACAAAGATAAACGTATGTTTGCAAACTCTAATAAGAGCTACTAAAGAACAGTAATGTATATCTTGGTAAGGATCAGAAAGGCCTCTCTGAGCAAGTAGCTTTTAGTTGGGATTTTGTGAATAACTATGAATTACCTAGCTGAGATTAAAAAGTAGAAAAGAACATTCCAGAAAAAAAGAAAAAATTGTGTGCAAATCCCCACGGCAGGAATGAGTGTAGTTATTCAAGGATTATGAAGGCATAAAGACATAGGGGGAAGAGAAGCAATATAGATTCTTCTGAAATAGAAACCACAGTGGGTCATGTTCAAAATGGTCATGCTAAGACTGGGGTCGTATCCTCAGAGCAATGTTTATTAGGAAGCATGGCTCTGGGTGCTGTGTAGGAAATTCAGGGCAAGAGTGGAATTATGGCAAGAAAGAGATTTCTTTGGTCTTCATGTAGGTAAGAGATGATAGTGTTTCATAGGCTAGGCTCCAGAAGAAGCAGACTCGCATGGTGATTAGCAGGCAAGTGATTGATTGTGGAGTACCCTTGGGATCAAAGCCTCCAAAGGGAAAAGAAACAGAATTGGACAGAGGGCTATCCTACAAGGTGCTCTGAAGTGTAAATTACTCCTTAGACTTGGGATGCAGAAGGAGGATAGGATTTTACACCATTTTGTGGATCAGTCACTGAAGGCAGCTGCATAAAGAATGGGGAATGGGACACAGTTGGGGAGGATGTGACTTTCTTCAATGACGGCTGTCCCCAAAAAGGGCTGACAGCTAAGCATCTGGAGAAGTCTTAAAGGGAGTTCTGGGCTGCGCATCACAGTAACCACTGTATGGAAGCTTGGCATAAACAGTGGTGGTGACGAGGAAGAAAAAGTGATGGCTTTGAGAAATGTTCTGTAAATAAAATTGGCAGAACTTGGTGATAGATTACATATATGGGGAGAAAGAACAATATCCAGGGTGATAGCCAGGTTTCTGACTTTTATTACGGAACAGATATTTTAATATATTTGTTTGATTAGGTAGATAAATAGTGTGAGTCTACACCTCAGAAGACACGTCTAGTCAGGAGATCAAAATTTGGGAGTAATTAATGAATGGATGATAACTAAAGCATGAGTCCACATAAGAACCCCTTCAAGAGGGCTCGGTGGCTCAGCCTGTAATCCCGCACTTTGGGAGGTTGAGGTGAGTGGATTGCCTGAGCCCGCGGGTTCGAGACCCACCTGGGCAACTTGGCGAGACCTCATCTCTACAATAAATAAGTTAAAAAAAAAATTAGCCGGGCATGTAGTTCCAGCTACTTGGAAGGGTGAGTGGAAGGATCGCCAGAGCCCAGCAGGTGGAGGCTGGGGTGGCTGGGAGCGGCCACTGCACTCTAGTCTGGGCAACAGAGTGAGACTTCAACTAAAAAAAAATCCCCTCAAGAAAGAGCATGGCATGAGAAGATTGATTAAGCCTTGACTTATAACAACAATTAAGATGGGTATGTAAATTTCTTGTCACTGTGCTTGGTACATAATAAGAACCCAGTAAATCCCTGTTGCCATAACAATAATAGTAAATAAATTTTTAATTAGTGAGGGAAATGGGTTGCCACAAAGATGTGCTAGATATGTCAGTAAACCCATAGTCATAGAGAGCTGAACACAGTTTCTTCCACAGAAAAATAGGTGCTGAGGTGAAACTAGCTCACCTAGAAATGTCTTTCCAGGAAGTGTCTTCATAAGAGATCATCCTAGGCACCTGTTTGTCTTTCATTCTTTGCATCTGATCCTTCTGCAATCCTCTTGGTTTTTCCTTCTCAGTATGCCAAGAATTGGATCAACTCTAACTACCTCCACAATGTTATCCCTAGTAGAGGCCTTTATTGTCTGGGTTCTTCTGAAAATTTCCCAATTCTTTTTGCTTCCTATTTCCTGCTTGCCTCCCTAAAATCTACTCTCTACCAAGAAGTGACAGTTGTCTTTTTAAGTTGTAGTAAAATTATGCTCTTTTTCTGCTCCAAATTCTCCAAAGCCTACCTATCTCATGCAGAGCAAGTGCTAAATCCCCAACACAGCCCACGAAGTTATACACAGTCGGATCCTGCACTTTTCCCACTGCCTTCTCACCCTGACCTCATCTCCTCCCACTTTTCCGGTTCACTCTGCTTCAGCCACATTGGTTGCTGACTGTTCCTCATAGGCTCCCTGCAAACTCTTCTCTTTGGGCCTCTACACTTGCTGTTTCCTCTCTCTAAATCATCCTTCCTACGATGTCCATGCAGTTTTCTCCATCCCTCATTTCCTTCAGGTCCCTCTCTTGCGTGATATTACATTAAAAGATGCTGCCCTTGAACTTCCTATAAAAATCTCAGCTCTCCCCTTCCTCTCCTCTTCATTTTTATTCATAGTATCCATTACTTTCTGATATCATGTGTATTTTAAATGTGCATGTTTCTGTTGCTTATTTCCCAGTAGAATGTAAACAATATTAAGGTAAAGTAGGGATTTTTTGTTGTTGTTTTGGTTTGGTTTATCATTTTATATCCAATGCTTAGAAAAGTTCTGGTTAATAATATGCCTTCAGTAGATATTGACTGAATAAGTGATTGGATACACAAGTGAATGAATGAATGAATTAAAATATAAGAAGAGCCCCTAACTCAATTTCTGGTGAGGTCCCTTCTCCACTATGTCTCCCTCTTTACATTTTCTAGAGCTAACTCGATTACATGGGAAGAAAATAAAGACCAGTCCTGCTTTTTTTAGAGGACCAGAAAGTGGACCAGACATAAGGACCAGAGAAGTCTCTGGGGCTCTTTGAAGCTGACATTTAGCGATTGAGACTCTGTCCATCAGTGTGGAGTCTGGCTGGCTGAATATTGTGGAAGGCAGGAAGAACAAATTTAAATTCTTCCAAAGAAGATATTGCTCTATGTCTGGATAATGCCAAAATAAATTTTAAAACCAAAGGTCAACTTTTGTTTTGCTCTTTTTGGTTACTAGTACATAAAGCACCTGAATATCTTTTCCTCCCCACTTTCTTGATACCTATTATCAATACATACACGAGCCTAATGAGAGATTGTTGTTATTATTATTAGTACTAGTAGTACTAGTAGTAGTATTACTTGGAGTTGGAGTCTTACTCCGTCACCCAGGCTGGAGTGTAGTAGTATGCTCATGGCCACCCCAGCGTCGACCTGCTGGGCTCCGGTGACCCTTCCGCCTCAGTCTTCCACGTAGACGGAACCATAGGCATGCACTACCACGTCCAGCCAATTTTTTATTCATTGTAGAGACAAGGTCTCACCAAGTTGCCCAGGCTGATCTCAAACCTGTGGGCTCAGGCAATCCACTAGCCTGAGCCCGGCTGTGTTATTATTATTATTATGAAATTACAATTGTACTCAGTGACTGCAGATTAGCACTGGTACACAGTCTCTGAGAAGTCATGGTTTCAGGCTCTGTCATGTCAGTGTTCAGTAGGTAAACTCCCAGTTCCATCCTAAAGTCAAACATACCCTAAATTGTGATCCATTCTCTCAGTAGCCCTAGAGTGGCCCCTGGAAGTCTAAAGGGCACTGCTGTGAACTGCCAAATGTTTAGAGTTAATAATGACGTCTCTGGGAATTAAAACTTTCCTCTGGTTAGCAGAACTCCTTGTTTCAATTGTTTGGGAAGATTTTGAGAGTATAAGCTACTTTGTGTCTTATCTTTGCACTTTCTTGTTTTCAACGATTTTTTTTAAAAGAAGGGCCCCAGTCTGTACAATCCTATTGCTACATATAAAGTAAAAAAGTACTCACAGCCCTGCAAAAAAAAAATACAGCCCTGCGCTTGATCTCTGCACACAGCTTTTAGTTAACACTTAGCATGAGAACAGGATATTGGCAACTCAACTGTTAAACCTGTCTGTGACTATTCTTCCTTGAGATCATTCTGATGTCACCAGTGTAATTTGAGCCTGGAGTTTTTGTTCACACTTTAAATAGCAGTCTGGGAATGATTTTGCTACACACTCTCTGGAGAGCCCGGGAGCTGAATTCCGGAAGATCCCCACATCGATGAAAGCAAAGCGAAGCCACCAAGCAATCATCATGTCCTCATCGCTCCGAGTCAGCCCGTCCATCCACGGCTACCACTTCGACACAGCTGCTCGCAAGAAAGCTGTGGGCAACATCTTTGAAAACATAGACCAGGAATCACTACAAAGGCTCTTCAAAAACTCTGGAGACAAAAAAGCAGAGGAGAGAGCTAAGATCATTTTTGCCATAGATCAAGATTTGGAGGAGAAAACAAGAGCCCTGATGGCCCTGAAGAAGAGGACAAAAGACAAGCTTTTCCAGTTTCTGAAACTACGGAAATATTCCATCAAAGTTCACTGAGGACAAGAGAATGGATAAGGACATTATCCAAGAATGGACATTCAAACACCAAGTGAGTTTGTGAGACTCTAACAGATGCAGCATTGTGTTGCTGCCTTGCAAGCTTCTCTCTGTCGGGACTCCAGAGTGGAAAGGGACTGGGACCCAACAAACTGGTTACAAAAACTCCAACCAGTCCCGCGCCCTTGTGCTGTTACAGTGGAGAACAAAATGCATCAGCAAGGGTTTGAAAACTCTCCTTGCAGGAAAGAATTGGTGCTGACGGAGGAGTCTGGACAGATGTAATGAGAACTGAAGAAGTGAGATGGCTAGAGATGACATGCATTCAGGGTCACTTTGTCAGGCCCTAGGACTTAAACTGAACTTTTTTTTTTTTTTTTAAACAAACTGGGTAGAGGGAAGGAGGGAGGAGGGAGAGGGAGAGCAGAGAGAGAGAATATCATGCATAAATTGTTTACTGAATTTTAATTGTGAATGTTCAAAATGTTGCCAAGTCTGAATGTTGTGTATTGGCATAAATTTAGAGAACAGTAATTGATTATTTATTGCATTTATGACAATGCAGAAAAAGGGCACCACATGGATGTTAAGTTCAAACTCAAGAAAGATACTTTCAGCAGCTCAGTAAACCCATATGCCACATTTAGGTTTGAAAAGGATTTTTATACATTTCAAACAGGTGGCACAAAAGTTAAAATAATGAGGTCCTTTATAAATCCAAAGAACTGTGAAAAAATTTTATAATTTTTTAAGTCTTCTGACTAATGCTAAAATATAATCTAATTAAATTTTGTACAGCTACTGCAGTAAGCATTAGGAAGTGACTATGATATAAATAGTTTCTAAAGATGCTATGGTTTTTATAATTTATTACACAAGTGATATGCAGCTATAATAAATTATTATAAACTTAGCTGCTTGTGGTCTGTGATGTTTGGTCTAGAAAAAGATGGCAAGTTTTGATTATAAACTTTTCTAAAGATCTATCTCTAAGAAAAAAAATATTTTTAGAGTAACTTTACATTAGTCACCTAACTTTTTCAAAATAAATTCTTACATAAAATATTTGGGAAGTTTCTCTTTCCCAATCTTAAAATATAAGAAATAGATAGAATAATTCGTAAATTCACTTATCAACATTGCTGTTTATGTATCCATTAGGGGTGAGTTTTAAAATACTTTCTCTTCACGTTTTTGAATTTTTTTCCTCTGTGACTATAGCTATATATGTGTGTACATTTATTTCTCTGAAACAAACACATATTCTGGGTTTAGAGTCTGCGTGGTGATCAAGATTCTATGAGTTACTACAATTTATTTAATGTGAACAAATATGGGAATAGTCTCAATCATCTCTTTGCTTATTTCCCCATAAAATCATAATAAAATATTTGTAGAACGGCATACATCAATGTCTGCTATGCTTTCCTAACAAAAAGAAGTAAAAATTCCCCAGAAATTAAGTGCTTTAGAAACACCAACAAAGGTTTTTCAAAATGCTGATCACAGTAACACAAAACAAGTGAATTACCTAAAGTCTTTTGGTAGGGTTACAAGTCAGGATTTTAAATACTAAATTTTTAAAAAGAAAATCAAGTGTTAAAATCTATGTTCAAATATTAATTGACTCATTCACTGAAGATAATAAAAATCACTCCATTAAAAAAGGAGTTCTTTCCAAGAAAGCATCCATGAAATTTATATATAGAATTGTGTGTGTGAGTGCATTTTTCTGAGAAGGGTATTCATAATTTTCATCAGATTTGGAAGACAACCATGAAACCAAAAAAAGTTAAAAACTGAAAAAGGGCTTTGACAGGTGGGGGGCTGAGCTGGGGTTATCGTGGAATATGGAAGTAGAAGCTGTAAGGAGGCCCTCTGCTCTGTGACCCCTCTTATTATTCTTGTGAACTGAACTATCTTAATGTTCTCTGTGTGTGCTAGAAATAAGCTTCCTAACCCTGATAGGGCCCATCAGTGAAAAATGTTATTTTCTAGTGTAAGATTGAAGCACATCTTGGATATGGAAAGTAGTTCAAGGGCTGAATTTATTATTTGCTCTGCCATTGTTATTTGCAATGGAGTACAATGTATATCTTATCCTCTTTTCACATTAGTATATATTTAATTGCTTTCTTACAGTATATTACATTGCTTTCTGATTTCAAGACCATAACATGGGAAACAAATTAAAAAGCAATTTGGACATGATCCACAACAGCGTGGAGAATAAATACTCTTCCAAAAGATTATTAGAATTATGCAATCTTTCCATTTATGGAGAACATGAGTTAGAATTAATGCAACTTTACGGGGATGATGTTTTAGCTTCATAATACCTTTGTTATTTAATGTGAGGTAAAAATAAATATTCTGATAACAGGGAGAATAAGCTCAGTTCAGAATTTTATCTATGGCACAAGGATGACCAAGTACATCCTAGGACATCTCACTGTAATAGAAGAAATAAAAGCAGCAAAGATTAAATAGCTCATTAATAATATTTGTATCATTAGGATCATAAATATGATAACTAACTTTCATTGAGTATATACTATTGGTCAGACAATTTTCTAAGTTTTTTGTGTAGTAAATCACTTAATTAGTACTATAACATAAGAGATAAGAGTACGTGTGAGTATACATACATATATATATATATATATATATATACACACACACACACACATAGTAATAAAACTGAAGCACAGAGAGACAACTAACTTGGCAAATTATACTCAGCTAATGAGTCCAGGAATCAAATCCAGGATGGTTGGTCTTCACTCCTAGGCACTAGGTTTGACTGCTTCTCCAGAAGAAATCAAGCTTCTTTTTTCCCTTTAAAGTGACAATTACTTCTACGCTAGTCAGTGAGGAAGACAGGAAGGGATCACTTTTATCTTATCTTTCTTGTTTGCCTATTTGTTTGGCACTTGTACTATGTAGGGAGAGCTTCGGTGGTTTATAATCTTAATTATGTTAATAATTTTCTTAGAGTAGCCTAAAATAAACTTGTTTTAGCACCTTGGAACAAAAGGCCACACTTAAGATCTTTTCCAGTCAAAGTGTTGGGTATCTGCTCATTGGGGAAATTCAGCAACCATGGATTCATTATTTTGTTCACTTAATTTATTGCTTGGCCCACAGAAAAAGAGGGTTTATCAAGCAGATAGACTTTTCTGAGAAAGGGGTCCAAGGTGTATGACTGACTATTTTTTTCCACTGTCAGGGGGTAATCAGAGGATGCAACTGATTCCTTTGGAAAGTCTCATCTGCTGATAAATAATTAAGCCATGGTCTGGGAATTGTGTGTACTTTTAGAATGTTGTTGACCCTTCAATAGTCTTAACCGAGGGCTTCCCAGCACTGCAGACTATTTCGCCAACCACTTTTCTCATACATTGGGAATTGGAGAGTGGGAGCAATATTTGTACTTTATCCATTCATGCAACAGAAATATAGTGAGCATTCTTTTGTGGGGGCCTCCATGGCCAGAAGTATTCTTTTTGTCAGAGAGCAGAAAACATTTTTTTTTTTTGGGTTGGAGTCCCACTCTGTCGCCCAGACTGGAGTGCAGTGGCCGCTCCCAGCCACCACAGCCTCGACCTGCTGGGTTCCGGTGATACTTCCGCCTCAACCTTCCAAGTAGCTGGAACTACAGGCACGCACTACCAGGCCCGGCTAATTTTTTGATTTATTGTAGAGATGAGGTCTCGCCAAGTTGCCCAGGTGGGTCTTGAACCCGCGGGCTCAGGCAATCCACTCACCTCAGCCTCTCAAGGCACGGGATTACAGGCTGAGACACCGAGCCCGGCTTAGAAAACATTTTGAAATGAATATAATAGTGAGATATATGACATGAGTTTAGGCAGAATACTGTGAAAACACAGGACAAAAATTGTGTGCGTGTGCGTGTGTGTGTGTGTGTGTGTGTGTGTGTGTGTGTTTGTGTTTCAGACAGTATGTATTTGGTGAGTAGCAGGAGAATTGGAGGAAAACTGACCCAACCTAGGAAGATTCTAGAGAAACCTAACCCAGCCTAGATGAGCCACAGAGAATTTTCCCTGTGTCAAAATAGGAGTTGGTAGAATATAGAGAACAATCTTCGTTCCAGGCTATGGGCCCAGCGTTTGCAAAAGCAAAGAGGCAGGAAAGAATGGAAATTGAGACTCTCCAAGCAGTTCAGTCTGATTAGGGGCCTATGGATTTCCAGGTAGTAATTAGAAAAGGCACTGGGTCTTCAAAGATAAGCCTAAGTATTGATTTTATTCTGAAGGTAATGGAGAAACATTAAGAACTTTAAATAGAGTAACATTTACTGCCTAACTACTATATATCGGGTCCTAGGAAAAGAATAGTTAATAGTTTGAAAAATAGTGCACCATCTAGCCAGTAAACTCATAGGCAGATTCTACAGAGATTCTTCCAGGGCTCTGTTGCCACATATTTGTCTGCTAAAGTGAGGAGCTAAGCAGGACCTTTCCAATTGGTCCTACATGGCAGCTGAAGATGACACAGAATTAAATGATCATGAAGATAAGAGTTGTGAGGCCCGATTGGGGGAACAGCAAACTAATATATTGCTTAATTAAAATTTTAAGAAATTGTGACTATGCTCAATCCTCATAATGAGTCTTATTATTTACCAAGTATTGTAGATAAATGGTTATACGATCTCTTGAATGACTCTTCTGCAAACAAAGTTTCCAAATATTTTAAATGATTGTCACAGGCACATGCAAATGTGTTCTGTTTCAATGTGTGTACACCATGACAGTGGACATGGTTCAGATAAGTCCTGGCAAAACTATGTTAGAGAACTCTGCAAAAAAGCCTCCTGTCCTAACAAGGTTTAGCAGTGTTTTTTTTTTTTTAGGTGTAAGAATAGTCAGAAGACTTTTGTTGTAGCCACTTTCTCCCAACCCTACCCCTTACACACATGTGCGCTCGTACACACACACACACACACACACACACACACACACACACACACACACACACACACACTACAGATATACAATCCTACTAGGAGAATATCAGTCCTCCTTCATGAGCCTTTTTTTCTTCATCTGTGAATAGCAAAATCGTGTTGAGTAAACACCACCAGACAGCCTGGAATTCTGGGGGTTTTTCCAACTCTGCCTCAAACAAATTCCTTTTGTATCTCTGGATTTCATCTGTAAGAAAAAAAAAAGGTTTGGCTGGATGGATGATGTCTGTGACCCTTTTCAGCTCTCATATTCTACATCAATGGTAACTAATAAGTGTATCACCTCATGTAATATAATTTTTTTTTTCTGGATCAGTTGGTATTCCATACATGACAGGAATTTCTCTTAAATATGACAAAAGCCTAATTAAAAAGTTTTGATCTTTAGCAATTGTTGCTGAAGGCACAATGTGGGGAAAATGACTTTCTGTGGATCCATTTCTGCTTTTCCATAGGCTACCTCTGTTCTGACTGGTTAGTGTCCATGCCAGGGCTGTTTGGTAATATTTTGACTATATCTTTCACATTCAAACAGTGACAGAGGCACTGAGACAATTCCCACAGTTGGTGGAAATTGGAATCGTCTGTAAAGTTTCAAAAATACAGACTCCTGGTCCCAACCTCTCCTGGCATTGTCTTAGTACTAGGTGCATTTACAAAGCTCCACAGTCAGCTCTAAAGAAGTGGATTGCCTGAGCCCGCAGGTTCGAGACCCGCCTGGGCAGCGAGACCTCATCTCCAGTAAATAAAAAAATTAGCCGGGCGTGGTAGCTTGCACCTGTAATTCCCATTACTTGGAAGGCTGAGGTGGAAGGATCGCTGGAGCCCAGCAGGCGAGGCTGTGGTGGCCAGGAGCGGCCACTGCACTCCAGTCTGGGTGACAGAGACTCCAACTCAAAAAAAAAAAAAAAAGAACACGACAT